CCGGGAAGATCCCACATGCCGCAGAGTGGCTGGGCCCGTGAGCCATGGCCGCTGAGCCTGCGCGTCCGGAGTCTGTGCTCCACAACGGGAGAGGCCACAACAGTGAGAGGTCCGTGTACAGCAAAAAAAAAAAAAAAAAAAAAAAAAAAAAAAAAAAGAGTGAGGTGGAGGCTGAACAGTGGGCCTATGGGTCCCATTCCCGCTTCAACTGATATATGGACCTGCTCCCATCTGTTAGATATCGGTTGATTACACTTCTATGTTACTATTCTTTTGAAAATCCAGTTCTGTTAACAACCAAAGTTTGAAAACCACTGTACTTGATTAAGGACTAGGGTATGAATTTGAGTATGTACACACTACAGCCAAGAGCCTTCACCACAGGTCATAGGCATATAGACACAGGGTCAGAATACACAGGACCATTAACACCACAGATATCTGGAGTCCAGAATAGTCACAAATTGTTAATCCTGATAATGGCTAAGGGGGAAGATGTTGGCAGGCAGGCAGGCACTTAAGTTACTGTCTACTAAAACAAGATGCTGTCGTTACTGAATTGCAACTTCTCTGGATAAACCAGGGTTAACCTGTGAAAGCTTACAGACCTGTCTTCAGGCACAGTAAAGCTAGAACTGTGTAAGAGTCCTTTAGAGATGAAATATTTTGATGTCCATGCTGTACTTTCCTCAGAACCACTTTGCTACAGAAAACTCTGATCCTGCCCTAATATGACTGCTCTCCATTGGAGTGTGAACTTGGACAGTATTCTGACAATTAATGAATATAAAGGTGTGTTGTAATGTCTTAATGAAAATGGTATCAGTCCAAGGTCTCTCTTTTCTTTCTTTTTAAAATTCTGTATGGCTCACTGCCTGTGGAGAAACAGGAGTGCCCTCAATTAACTGCTACTTTTCAATCTGTTCAGCAGCTTAAACTTGAACTTGTGCATCAGATCCTTCTAAGGCCAAAAGGACATTGCCTTTAAGTGCCAAATACATTAGTTACTCCCATGAGCCAAGTAATCAACTTAGGATCCCTGGTACATTTCTTTGGTTCAGCTGCAAGGCCCCCCTGCTCAGAGATCTTCCGCTCTTCCATCTCCAGCTCAGGCGTGGCCAATAGGCATCCAATACCTGCTCCAAAGTTTTAGAAGTAACTTAAGTCATAGAATCAAAATTGCTCGCGAGTCTTCCTGATATATGTCAGCAATTCTGTTAATTCATTGAAGAAAAAAAAAAAAGGAATGTGAATGTTTACTTTCATTAAATCTGTGCTCAATGATTTTACAGCAAAGAACATATATAAGTGTTGCACACAAAATGAAATTAATTAACAGACAGGTTATATACTGAAGTACAAAAACAAGTGTTTGACTTGGAAATTGAACTTTATTTACAAATGTTCTCCTATAGACAAAGATTCCATTCCACCCCCTTTAAAATATTATAACTAGTATTTCCCAGAAAAATCATTTACATTGTTTTAATCTTTCTGCATAAAACAGTATTATGGGATAAGCAAATATGGGATGGTCTAAGACATAAAAAAACAAAAGACAATTTATCCACCATGAATGCTCTACTGACTGACAGAATGAAGAATTACAAATCACACCCCTTAATGTGCTACTCCAAGAAACGGAAACGTGATAATTTGGGGAGGTAAATGCTTCACAATAAAGTCTTCTTACGTAGTATGGTTTAATGGTGATTGTTTAGGATTGCTCCTGCAGGCTGCTATTTATGCTGATTTTAAAAAATAAGTCATCATTGTTAAAAAGGGCATAGACTTTTCTATACAGATTTTTTTTTTTTACCTATGGAAATATGTAGATACTGACCTGGTCTCATCATTCAGGCCAATTAATAAAATAACAAACGCATGAAAAGA